GAAATCCCATTTCTTTGTAATTTATTAATTTGACAATAGCAGTTTTTTTGTACAATTTTTTATCAGATGCTCAAGTTTTTTAGTGTTTTCATATTGACATACTGTTTTTTTTCTGCATGGTTTTCTCATTTTGGGCTCACAATATAGCTGCGAAATGAGAAAAAAGAAAAGAAGCAAAATTTTGTTTAGATGGAAAGTATTTGAAAGGCCTAAGTTTTAAATTTCTAATAGCTCCATTTGTCAAGAGTCCTTTTCAGGAACATGCACTTTCTAATCTCTGATGTATCTACCCTGTACTTTGTCGTTATGAAATGCATAGTAAATTGTAGCTGTCAACGTGCATTATTTTCTGGGTTGTACATTATGATTCCCTACAAGTTGTGCTTTTCCTAACTGTCAAAATTTAATTATTGTAGGTTTCAAGATCAATTGGTGATGTGTATCTTAAAAGGGCGGAATTCAATAGGGAGCCCTTATATGCTAAGTTTCGTCTCCGAGAACCTTTCAAAAGGCCTATATTAAGCTCTGAACCAGCAATAACTGTTCATGAACTCCAGCCACATGATCAGTTTCTCATATTTGCTTCTGATGGTCTCTGGGAACACCTAAGCAATCAGGAGGCAGTGGATATAGTGCAAAATCATCCTCGCAGCGTAAGATCTTGAGCCTACATGTCTATCTAGCATATATGTTTTTATTTCCCTCAAAAACTGGACTAATTTCTCATCTACAATAGGAAATCAAATGAGTCTTGAATATTTAGTTTGAAGTTGTGTTTCCCCATTGCAGTAAGATTTTGACATTTAAAGGTTCTTGGTCCAAAATTGCGGATTCTATAGATTACAAAAGAAGATCAGTTTGTTTACCTATGTACTCATTTGCGTTGTTCTTTCTTGTGTGCAATTTAAAAATTCTGGCTCCGATTGGATTCCTCATTTTTTGAAAAACAAGTTTTTCATATACAATGCTACAGTAATACACAAATAAAAACAACTCCAAAAACACCTCACATCCATACAATATATCAAAAACAACTCCAAATATATAAAAAAAAAAAAAAAAATCTACACCATTTTCTTCTTCCATCTATCACCATCACCTACCACCACCACCTTCCCCCCTCTCCTCTTTCCTCTCCCTCTCTCTTCCTCCTCTCTTACTGTTCCCTTCCCCTTTCTCGCCAAACCCCACTACTCCCCTTCCCCCCCCTCCCAAAAATCTGGCCTCGATCCGGGTGAGGCATGGCTGGAAAAGGGAAGAGAAGGGGAAGGAAGGAGGGGAGGAAAAAAACGAAGGAAGAAGATGGGAGGAGGGGAGGAGGAGGAAGAAAGAGAGGGAGGAGGAAGAGGGGAAGAAAGAGAGGGAGAAGAAGGGAAAGGGTGGTGGGTGGTGATGGTAATTTTTAAAAAATACCAAAAAATTTTTTAAACTTTAAAAATACTCCAAAATATATCCCAAAAACACCTTCAAAAACATCTACAGTAAAAAATTTTTCATATACAATGTTATAGTAAAATATTTCAAAAACACTCTTGTAATGCATGGTCTTGTGACTTTGGTGCTTGATTATCATAACCTTGTTATGTCCAATCCATTGTTCTGTATCATAAGTTTGACCTCCAACCTGTGTTTTTAAACTTAGACCGGACAGGGCGGTTGAACCGGGAACCGACCAAGTGTCCGGTCCGAGTTACTCTAAAAAATCGGGTGTATAAAAACTCAGTCAAAAACCGGATTGGACCGGCAAACCGGATGAACTGGTTTGATGTCAAGGGTTTTTTTTTTTTGAAAAGGTCAACATTTTCAATATTATGTTTTGGCCCCTAGGTTGTTAAAAATTATGAATATATCTCAAATATTTCTTACTTTATAATTGTTGTTCTAAAGTTTGGTGTTATTTTTTAATCAAATCCATTATTTTAATTCTAAACTTGTTAATGTTCATTTAATAATATAAATTGCTACTTGATCATTCTAATTTCTTTGTATTTTCTTATTAAATATATTTGAAACATCAAATATATATGAATATATATTTATTAATATTAACATACTCTTAAGGATTTTATATATAATATTTTAATTTTTAAATAATTTTTATTTTTGACATCATCCGATTCAACCCCGATCGAACGCGGTCGAATCCATTGACTCCTAAGCTCAACCGAGTCGATGGCCGGTCCGACTCTGAAAACATAGCCTCCAACAGCCTCAGAATGCATTTTTAAACCAAAAAGCTTCTCAGCCAGTGCATGTAAATGCATTTTTTTCTGCCTGTTTTGGTTCTATTTGATTATATTTATTGCTGCATAAGAAAGCAAGTTTCGCATTTTGTATCAGGGGTCCCAAAACCTTAGGGTGTGCATTGTGGGTAAGGGCAGAGGTGGGGTGTTTAATTCTTGGTTAATCCTTGAGAGCAAGTCGAATCCCAGTTTGGTAAGGATGGATGCGTTTAGTGAACCCTACAGTTCCCAGCTGCTGGTTTTCAACTGGAAATTGAAAACAGAAAAGCAAATGAGTAAATTCATATTTATTGACCTCCAGCTTGTTTAATTATCAGAGAGGATTTTTTGTACTTGAAAAGTTTAATAGATAGATTTGCAAACATTTCAAAGCTTGTTGAGTGTCTTATTATTTATTATAAAATTGTCATTTTTTTTTGGGAGGGGAGGGGTTGGATAGAAGCTTAGAGACGTGGGAGTGTCGAAATGGGAATCCGTTGCTATTGGTTGAGATCCATGGTCTGCATGAACTCTCTGAACCTGAGCCTTGGGATAAGAGAGTTGTATGAAAAGCGTGAGATTGTGTCTATCAACTGATTTTTCATTCATGCAGGGTATTGCTCGGAAGCTGGTAAAGGCTGCATTGCAAGAAGCAGCCAAGAAAAGAGAAATGAGGTACTCTGACCTGAAGAAGATAGATCGTGGAGTTCGACGGCATTTTCATGATGACATTACGGTCATAGTTGTTTTCCTAGATTCGAATCTTGTCAGTAGAGCCAGCACTTTGAGAGGCCCCACGTTGTCCCTAAGAGGTGGTGGTATCAACGTGCCAGCGAAAGCTTTGGCTCCAACACAACTCGGTAGTGCATGAAATCTACATCTGTTGTATACTCTGCTGTGTCCTTCTGGAACTTCGCGTGACCATCTTATGGTAGATGAAGGGAGACTGGAGAAGGTGCGGCACTAATTTAATTTTTACCCCCGTGTAAAATTGTAACGTTGACTTGGAACTGGTGTTTTGTTTAGTTTATGATCAGTAAAAAAGAGAGAAAGGATAAGGAAGTAAAGGAGACCTTGAAAGTTACTGTAGAGATTCTTTCTTGAGGATTATCGTTCCAGCTTATATTCATTTTCCTTCCCTTGCCCGCCTCTTTTTTGAAGTGTATCATGTAAATGGTGTAAAACTGAATCCTCTTGAAATCAAAAGATTGTTTGTCAACAGCTTGTGATGCATCATCTCAGATGACAAAGTTATGGTTACTGTAGCCTTAGGGGACTACAACTGCATGTACCTCGTAATACATAATGCTGGGCGAGATAAATTCGGCTTTCAGGCGTGGAGAATGGATTTTACATCTAGAGAGGATTTGGTCCTTTTGGAATGATGAGTGCAGGTTTATGACCAAGTTAAACGATGAGCGGCGAAGAATATGACAGGCTGATCCCCTAGAGATATCAGTTCGGGCGGTACGGTAAGCAGACGGATGCCGCCCAGCTTTAGGTTTTCATCTTTGTTATTCTTCCTCTTTCACCAGAATCTAGTCAATTATAATAACTTAGACCCTTGAACGAATATACAAGTAAGTACATGTGTTCTGATTAATTGGTGATCTTTGGGTAGATAGGGTAAAGCAACAAGGATAAGGTATTCAAGCATGGTTAGCCATCTCAGCCGAGTCCGACAAGATTCAGTCGAGTCATCATTGAAACAGAGGAATTGTTATGATATCGATCTCTAAATCACAAATAAATCTCGCGGTGGCTAGCTCTGATTTGGTCGATATTGGCTAAGTCAAAACTGAAATCGGCCTAAATCTCTGAGTCCACTGGGGAATCATCAAACAAAGGCAGACAAAAATTTGCAGAAACAGAGTTATGCAACAAATTGGTGCTGCTCCAATGGTTCACAACAACAATTGCTTTTCATCATATCTCTATTGTTTTACCTCTTTTTTTTTTTTTTAGCTTTTATTGGAAAATTGAACGCCTAATAATTGCAACCAAACAAGCAAATTGAAAGGTTATGCACTTATCCTTTTAGAAGTCAAGCCCATCTCCATTTTTCCTAACAATAGCCAACAATCATGTGTGTGTTGAATCCCATCTCCGCCAAGTCTTGCCTTTGCCTTCGTTTTTATTAGAAAAGAAAATAGTTTTTCAGGAAAATTTAATCCATTAGTAACAGGGAAGGGAAAGGAAGGAAAGGGAGGGAAAGCCTCAAGATTTGGTAGCCGATACAACATGATGGTCGCGACCAGTGATGCTACTATGACAACAAGTCAATCAAAGGTGAAGGAGTTAGGAAGCTTTGGGGTTAAAGGCTTAAATAGGTGCTAATGTGATAATTAAGGGAAATATGGGTTTTTTAACTTTCAAATTTAGGGCAAATTATCCAATTGGCCCTTGAACTTTTTGTCTGGGAAAAAGAAGTCCCTCATTTATTTTTTGACTGATTTTAAGCTCTTGAACTTATAAAATTGAGTACCCGTGACCCTTTTAACCAGTTTATCCGGTTTTGCAATCAGAAGGCCAATTCACACGAATGAATGTCTGTGTGCTTCTTCAAAGGACATTTTTGTCTGCATTTTCTAAGTAAAAAGGGAACAACTCCTCCTAGTTTGTTATCCCAATGAAGCAGATGGGTACTTACTTCACTCGACTAGCTTCTTAAATCTCAGTGTGGGTGTGGGTGTGTGTGTGTGTCTCAATCATGGAAGCATACAAACTGTAGCGTGTTCGTATTTACCAGAACAAGGGGACCGACAACATAAGAAAAACTAGCCAAGATAGAAGAGCGAGTTCATGGAAAAGGAATAGAATCGTTTTTGCTACATACTTCTTGTACGTATTTCAGTTTAAGGTTTTGAGGAGAGGTGCGGCTTCTTTCACAGTGGTAAAATGCAGAAATAATACTCGGTCCAAGAAAAAGAGGAAGAGTGGTTAAATTTCTAATTCCAGCATCCATCTCTGGGGAAATCAAATTAATTTCAACTCTGAGTAAAGATGGCGGATACTACTAGTAATTAATGGGGAAGTTGCACGGGAACAACCTCGGATCCGTGGTGTTCGACCACCCGATTCCCAGCGGAGAGCGTCAATTTAAGAATTGGTCACCTCATTCCGCTGTATTATACTGGACACAGTTCAGTGCGGGACATGGCAGTATCATAAGCTCAACAACATTGGCAAATTAACCATCCAAGAGCCCAAGCCGGAGCCCGACATTGATCTCACTGCAGTCACAACACTAAGATCTGAGTTGAGTAAAGGTAGTATTAACAGTGGGACTAAGTATCCAACAAACACACCGCCCTCCGGATCCAACAAGTTATCAGACCTTCTGAAGCTATCGGAAAAAGAAAAACGAACCGGACGAGGAGGAGGCGGAGGCGGTGAAGAGGAATGTGGAGGCACTGGAGGAATTGAAGACAGCGGTGAAGAATCTCCAAAGTAGCAGTAGCAATAGCAGCAGCCAGCAACTCGAGGAAAATGAAAACCATGGCTTCTTAGCTCCAGATGTTCGCGTGTTGGAGGCAGCCAAGAAGGTCAGAAGGCTGGCTAAAGGCGATTCTCAATCCAGAACCACTCTTGCTTTGCCCGGAGCAATACCCCCGCTCGTGGCTTTGCTGGACACCCCCCGCAATTCTACTTGTAGTATTTATTCTTGTTTGTTCCTCCTTCCTAGAGAAATTCCTCGAGGATCCCAAATTCGAGATTGAATCTGTAATCCCAACAAGATTACAGATTCACTCCAACAGGGATGTAATCTTGTTGTTACCCAAGTGAAAAAGGAGGAGTTGTTCCTTTTTTGCTTAGAAAACGCAGACAAAAATGCCCTTTGAAGAAGCACACTAACATTCGTGTGAATTGGCCTTCGGTTGCAAAATCGGATAAATTGGCTAAAAGGGTCATGGGTGCCCAGTTTTACAAGTTCGAGGGTATAAAGTCAGCCAAAAATAGATTTGGAGCTTATTTTTACCTAAACAAAAAGTTCAAGAGCCAATTGGATAATTTGCTCTCAAATTTATGGGCTTTGAAGGGTATGGAATTTGACATTTTGAAGGTGGTTTTTATAAAGGAATTTTTTGGGCCTATTTGATGGAAGCGCAGATTAGCTATTTGAGCAAAGGTTTGTTAATTTGTTCATTTATTTGATATTGTTAAAGGTTTTATTTCTAATTTACTATTTTCCTAGATTTAATATTTAATTTTTTTGTTATGTGATTTGCAAATTTATGTTACATATGCTTAACAATATAATTACTTAGACTAGATTTATGGTTTGTTCAACAAATTTCTCCATTTATATGTTATCATCAGCTCGAGTGGGATTAATATTGTGTTGTATAAAATATAATGGTTTTAATCTTATATTTAACTTTTGATATCATATAAAATAGGAATAAAAGGTGTTCTTAATGGTAAAATGATCTACTTTTAATGCTATAGATCATTAGTTACAGTAGCATAAATTTGTTTAACTAATTAGTAACAATGTAGGTATTTAACAAATCTAATTTGATAATTGTACTTGTTATGGTATTTTCTATTTTGTAGTAAGTTTTTCATATTTTTTGAAAATTCTTATGTGCTATAATGTGCATATCATCTGATATTCAACCGACATGCCACGACCGATATGGAACAACCGCAATCACGACATGACCGCGACCTGCGACGGCGAACCATGTATCCAAAGGGCCATAAAAGCCAGAAACCTTTAAAGATGAATTTGAAATCATGTCAGATATCTAGAGCTGGAAAACCAGGCTAAAATGCAATGACGGATGCAATCTAGTTGCTACTTTGGATGCAAGAGACGAGGAGAGAATTATCTGAAGCAACTTTTGAACTCTGTGGATGGCATTGATATAATTCTTCAAGAAATGCTGCAAATTTTCACTTCCTATGCAAAGATATTATGGCTTTTCGGCTTCAATATTTCATGAACTTGAATGCTTACGAAAGAGAAAACCAAGAAAACTAAACTGGAGAGAAATTCTACTTAGAAAAGTTCTTATGTACATCAGTACATGTGCCCCCCAATCCTTGAAATTGGACAGTGAATGCAAATAATCCTCAGAAGAACATAGGATTGCAAATCTACCAGTTGGCAACTCAAGTACCAAAATAACCCTTTACAAACATACAAGCAAACCTTCTCTCTTTCTCTAAAACACACAGTGTTATAATGGGTAATGGCAAATCATGCTAACATCATAGTCTAAGCTGAATTCATTTGCCCGTGTGACCTTGTCCTCATCCATGCTTATACTTATCTCCTCAGCAATGCCTCTTAGATTCTTTGCAGCAGCATCCATGTTAGTGCTGTGCTCGAAACACGTCAAACTAGAACTCCGGAAAGAGTGACTATCCATGTCCACATGAAATTTTTGAAGTCCAATTCCATCTATGCTTATGGAACTTTGAGAATGACCATTGTCAATCGATCCGCGATCCCGATAACCAGTTGATCCACTACGGAATCCTGATAGTTCCGCGGAATACAATGAAGATTGTTTAGGTATAAAGATTTCTACTGAATCAAGAGCTGTCTCTAGTTCTTGCCACACTTGAGTCATTGTAGGCCTCTCTTTCGGCATCTCCACCACACATCTTAATCCAAGTTGTCCCATCCTCAACATTATCTCCATGTTACATTCCTCTAGTAGTAGATTTGCATCTATGATTTCGTCAGCTCTTCCTCTCTCCAGGCTAGACCTTGCCTGCACTTTTGGAAGAAAAAAAGATCATTCCATTTCCTTCTCACTCAATCATTTCTGGATAATGCATGTGTTGGAGCAAAAATACACAAAAATCAGCGCGGACAGCATGATTGCAACAAAAATAAGGACCAAAAGGGGCACTTGTATGTAATGCTGGTATTCACTTTTATTCAACATAATAAGATAGCCGGATCTTTTACTTACCCAATCAACAATATGAATATTAGGGTGTTTTCTAGATGAATCGACTGCAGGTCTAGCAGCAACAAGTTGCAGAAGAATGACACCGAAGCTATAAACATCAGTAAAAGGACTTAAATGGAAGCTTGCACAGTAGGCAGGGTCAAGGTACCCTGGTGTCCCTTTAACCTGACTACTTACATGTGATTGATCCCCCACAGGACCTGATTTAACAAGGCCAAAATCTGAGACCTTAGCCTCAAAATTCTCGCTTACTAAGATGTTACTTGGTTTTATATCTCGATGGATTATACTTGGCTTTACTCCTTCATGCAGATGAGCTATCCCTACAAAATTAAGCAGATGATGCAGTTTAGGAATTGACCCCTTATTGTACTTTTTGTCATTGAACTGTAAATTGCTCTCGTTAGAACTCACCCTTGGCTGCTCCAATTGCTATATTTACTCTTTGCCTCCAAGTTAAGCTCTTTCCTCCCCTTCCTATAACAGCAATCATATATTCATCAAGAATATTCATGTACAATATGACAAAAAGTAACTTAAAAAAAAAAAAAATTTTTAGTTACTGAGATTTGGCTAATTACTCAGAATATCGATGAAAAAAAGAAATGTCGGACATGCATGGATCGGACAATGGGTATGTTTGAAACTATGGTTGGCGTGCTTTTTTTTTAAGTCTGACATAGCCCGGCAGCCGGCAGAACTGCCAAAAAGCTGGCTGCCGGGCTGTCATTCCATTTTTTTAAAAAAAAGAAATTTCCAAACTTCATGCATACCCTTTTTGCCTTTTTCTTTCTTCGCACAATTATTTACTGCTACGTATGCTTTGCATTTCTGAATTCGAGTAGAAGACAGCCCGGCAGCCATCCCATTTTTTTTAAAAAAAAATTTCCAAACTTCACGCATTCCCTTTTTGCTTTCTTTCTTTCTTCGCACAATTATCTACTGCTACTTATGCTTTGCATTTCTGAATTCGAGTAGAAACTTCAACTAGGATGCTAAAATGATTGGGTAATCTATTACATAGCACAAGTTTTGTCATCTTCAGTAGGATGATAATTGATAGGGACCCATTATGGAGCTTGTGCTATGTGATAGATTACCCAATCATTTTAGCATCCCAATTGAAGTTTCTACTCGAATTCAAAAATGCAAAGCATAAGTAGCAGTAGATAATTGTGCGAGGAAAGAAAGAAAGCAAAAAAGGAATGCGTGAAGTTTGGAATGCCGGGCAGCCAGTTTTATGGCAGCCGGCTGCCGGGGCTGACAAGGTCCGGCAGCAATGTCAGACTTTAAAAAAAAAAATATTGCCTCTTTTGCTTCTTCTGGGCTGACACAGCCTGGCAGCCATACTTTCATACATACCCATTGTCTGATTCATACATGTTTGACATTTCTTATTTTCATCCATATTCTGAGTAATTAGCCCTGAGATTTTGCTAATACCCAAACAAGTGTTACAGAATACAAGGGGTATGCCCCTGGCACCAACACTAATTCAATCCATGGTAGGATTAACAACAAAACACCCACCCAAATCTAACACAATCCCAACTTAAAATCCACTACAAGTTATACAACAATAGAAGATCATTAACGAAAATCATGGTATGGTAGTAACCAAGACATCTTAGGTTCAAAGCTTACCCATGATATAATCAAGTAATGAACCATTGCTGACATATTCCTAGACCATTATCTTTTCTCCTCTTGATCCTGATGAAACGCAAGCTAATTAGACACTTGGTGCATGATACAGCTATGTGCTGTTAGGTAAATATCTCATGTTTAGGTACATCATCTTACAACATTGGTCTGCCTACGCAAGTAAAAATCAGACATTTATGGGTGTTATAGTTTACCAGCTTGCTCGCAGAACCCTACCAGACCAACAAGGTTCTCGTGCTTCACTTTTGAAATCAACCTGACCTCTGTTTCACAAAACTATATTGAATCAGTTTTACAAATCGGATGGAAAACTATGTGGCTATGAAAGAAGTAAATGGTATAGCACAAGTTATGGAGCCTTGCCATTTCTAAATTCCTCGATGCTTGTGCATGACGAAGGATGAAGCTTTTTGATTGCCAATACTCCCTCGGCTTCAAACGATCCTCTATATACATTTCCAAATGCGCCAGTACCAACCAAGCAATCTTGGCTAAAATTATTAGTTGCCTTCTGCAGTTCTTCTAACTGAAATCTTCTTGACCACATCTTTGGCGCATCCAGCTTACCTAAACATTGCCAAGAACTGGCTCAACCTTTTCGCGTTGAACATGCCTTAGAATCTTATCAAACATAACATAAGACTAATCGACTTACCTTTGCCGTTTCGTCGTAACTTGCAGCCTGCATAAAGCTTCCTCTTGTAACAAATAATCAACCAGCCAATGACAAATATGGCAACAATAACTATGATAATCCCTCCCCATACATGTTTGCGATCAAGAAATGAACCACGATTTTCGGTTTGTGCAGGTGCTAAAGCTGGCAAAGATGGTGTTTTTTCTGCCATGATGCCTTGATATCGTTTCCCAATTAGAAAAATGGCATGAAATCCAACTCGTAAGTTTTAATTCTTGAAAGTCTATTCGTTAAACTACTACTGAGTTTACTCTCTTCTGTTCATTAATTACTCGCTCTTTCAAATGAGCAGTAGCATTATTTGATTCCTCTTTGGCAACAGCTGATTGACTAATTAAGAAGCAATCAAGCAAAAGAAACAAAGAAACATAGAGGCAGATATATGGGGTGGGGGGAGTTTAATCTCAGCCGGCTACCCTCAACCTCAAGTTCAATTGTCGCAGTCCAGTCTCATCTCTGACTCGGTCACTGAATTCTTCTCTCCAGAGTCCAGACGGCACACCAGGACAAGGAAGCATGCAATCAAACAATTATTTTCCATAAAGAAGAAGAAAACAAACCTACTCTTAATTCAATAGTTCTAAAGATAGTTCAGCCAACTGGTTAATCAACTTCGTGCATTTTCTCAGACATGAAACAGGATACAGCTTGCATGCAAACTGGCTTGGCAGAGGATATTGTTTTATGAAGTAAAACAAGTAGGATCGCCTGTTTCCTCTAGCGGAGATCATTTCTACTTTTCTTCTTGATGACAAAAAGAGGGGGCAGAGGCGACCAGCTATAGCTCCCATGGTTGTAGTTAACTAAGTTAGACTTAAACAGTAGGTTAGATTTACTCTTCCAACAAAGTTAACT